CCTATCTTTGTGTAGAGATTCATTAATATATTACCCTCTTTGTTTGGCCTAAATGAGAAGTCCCAACTTCTTGTATTTGCACTGTTAATCCTCGGATAAAAAATCTTATCTCTCGACAGGATTTGGATGTACCATTCCCTCAAAATGAAATCTTGATATTGCTAAAAATAGCCAACCGCCATCTTGTTGATTTCCTCTCCATATAGCTTTAGTGGTAAAGTCAGCTCGTTTAGGTTTCACACTATGCTCCCAGATGTAACTTTCATTATTACAAACATGGTGTAGCAGACATATATCGACTCACTCCTACTTTGAGGCTTGCACTTCATCGCCACTTGTGGTTTTTACACAAACGAGATTGGCTTTACTTCATTTTTAAGCACTCTTAACTTCAGCAATCTAGCCTCCGTGTGCTCCTGATCTGAAGCCTGATGCACTGGTATTTTAGGAACTAGTATCCTGAATCTTTGCGCTGAAAATCAAAGTTGAGAGGGCCGCCTATAGACCGAATAAAAAGCCCTAAAAGCCTACTTTCTCTACAGGATGAGCTGCTTGGGTTGGCACACTGTACAGTTGGCGAACAACCGAGCACACATATCACATTTAACCTGACATTAAAAAACCATTCATCTCTCCTTTACTGAAACGGAATCCAAGCTTTGAAGATGAAATGCTGACACGTGGATAAAATGTAGACCGACAGCGGGAAAAAGATATCAAAAATGCCACCAGCTGTGAGCAATACAATTTATTTACCAGTGGATCAAACTCAGTTGGTGGATAAATTTTGTTTAAACCTTTGGTTTTCAGATTTCCTGCTTGCAAAATAGAATATATTTTCGAACCTCCACGTAGTTTCCAACAACTTGCTTTAGGATAAGGCGAATCTTCAGTTAAACCGCGGCGAAGAGGATCTGAGAAACTGGTGAAATGAGGAAAGCACTCCGCCATGCGTTGACTATCAAACATCAACCAAGCAGTTACACGGATTTACATACAGAAGCAGACATCTCATCTGCACAGAGTTTTTGAAAAGTGAACAATCATCACGTGTCTTCTTGGACATCCCTAAAGTTCACTGAGGAATAGGCAGAGCGGCTCCATAAACTTCACCTTCCAATCGATGCGGGAGCGGAGCTTGGACATCACGCGGTAAACTACTCGCATGTTTCACCAGTAGTAAGCGTAATCATGCTGGAAGACAAAACATATTAGACTCAGTGGTGGTTACCTGTACGTAAGGCTGATGCTTCATCCACGCGGTAAACTACTCGCATGTATCACCAGTAGTAAGCGTAGTTATGCTGGAAGACAAAACACATTAGACTCAGTGGTGGTTAGCTGTCCGTAAGGTTGATGCTTCAGACGGATGTTTGTGACCACTTGTCTGTGTGTAAGGACGTTCCCACCGACTTTCATACCTGGCTGAGACGTGTAAAATCGGTACATGTACGTACTAAAACTTTTCACGGCCTACTGAGCAGAGCACGGCAATTTAAGTCTTGGGAGCGAAACCGTGGGACCAGTAAGTTAATTCTTATCTGATGAGGGGAAAATAACGATGCAGCATTTTATGTCACCTGCATGACATGGGCTATACGATAAGGCAAAAGGATAAGTTTCGACAATGTCTTGGATCATAATCAACTGTTACTAAGTAAACCTGGATACGCTGGTGTAATGCATCCGAATTGGTGGCAGAACAGGTAGGATTTATGTCAGGGACCTTGAAAGTGCAAGCCATTTCCGTCACCTAGGTTACGGGGCGATTCAGACATCTTATTGTAGGAATCAATCCTTGCGGATCAGAAAATGCTGGTCGTTAAGTTTGATTAATAAAACAAAGGCTGAAATGTTCTTCCGTAAGACCGCGGAAGTTGCATTGTGGCAAAAAACATCTGCCGTCTTCTACTGCTAATCCAGCAAATACGTCGTCATTTGAAGCCATGAGAGCATGAACTGTTGCAAATTATGCGAAGGGGGGTAGAGGAAAAACGTCCAATGCTCTAGGAGTGTCTGGTCATCATCAGAAACATACTGGAGTAAGACACCGTCTGGAGGTCGGCACAAGGTTAAAGCTGGCCTAACTTTCACTTGAAAAAAAGGGTTTTGGTTGCACAGGCAGATTGCTGTTGCCTCGGCTACACGTGAAAGACAAAAAGTTCTTCGTCATTACCTTCCGTCGGATGCGGGGCAGGAGTCAGAACACCAGAACACAGACTACTTTCATGCTTCATCAGTAGTATAAATTGTCACGCAGGTGTTAGCCAGAACCTCAGCGATAGTGAGGGAATGATACGCACCCGTTAAACGACGCAATCAATCCATCCTCACGTGATACTTGGCTGGTTTGATAACCCAGGAAGCGATGA